CTGTGCTGCTAAGTGGAACAGGGCTGGCGATGATTTCTGCAGGCCTAAAGATTTTCTGGACCATTCTTTTAAGGCTTATCTGTTGATGATGGAAGGATAAATCATGATCGCCAGGAAAGCAGAGCTGGAGGGAGAGCAGCTTGTCCCGCAACACGTTGGTGGCCCTCGAAACCACACCATAAGATTCTCCACCTCTGCTCTTTTGCAGACATCACTGGGCGGGGAGGGGAATCTACCTGGTGCCAGGAGAACCATTTTTCTTAAAGCCAGAGGACTCTCCTTGGTCCAGAAAGGTAAATTCAGACAGGCCAAGCACCCAGGAAGGAGACGCCGGCAGCCGAAGCAGCATAAAGAAGCAAGGTAGATCCAGCAAGGAAGATGAGGGGGGACTGTTCTCGGCTGTGGGATCCCTTCTGGGGACCCGGGACAGAGGCGCAAAGACAACAAGGAGATAAGTGCTCCCAGTGTATTAGACACAGCAGGGGCACAAGCTGCAGCCCTGGGCTCCCTGAGAGAGTTCCTCCCAAGCAGACAAAACAGGCATTATGAAAGCAGCAGGAAGAGTGGGGACACGTCTTTCCCTTTCAAACCTTGTTTCTCAAAGAAAGGACAATAGTGAGTTGATAAATGCAACTAATTGTGAGACCTCGGTGAGTGTGTAAGTGCATCCCTTAAGATTGAAAGGCAAGGAACTCGAGGGGCTTTTGTTAAACTTAGGGGGAACTAAGCAAAGAGGCTAATAAATTGCTTAGTTAGTAATCTGGGTGTTGCCCCTTCTCCACCCCTCCCAGCTCCCAGCAGCACATGGAGGTGCTGGGGCTCCTGTGACTTGACACAAAGTGGGAGATGCTCAAACTGTGACAGCAGGGGTCAGAATCTTTTGGCTTCTTTCCAAATGGAAAAAAAATGAGCCTGTTATTCAGGGTCTGCTGCCCGGGCTAGAACACTCTACTTATTGGCTGGGAGAGGTGATGGCAGAGGAGGGAGGGGAGTGGGGAAAGGGACAATGGGAGAAAGGAGAAGGCAGTCCTGAGATGATGGTGTTAGGGCAGCTGCCCTCCCTCTCACATGCGGGGGTCTGTATGTAAGTGAAACGGGACCTGGGGCTCTCAGTAGTGTCTTATGTTAGCCAGGGCTGAAAAAGATCAAACCTCTGGGATTGGCTTTCCAAATCCTGTGGTACCTTCTTGCGATCATTTGCTCCTTGTTCATCTGTTTGGGATCTGGGGACTGTTGCCAATAGTAGTGAAGAAAGGAGACTAAATTCTCTCAGCTGGACCAGTGGCTGACATTTATGCTGGGGAATGAGGGTGGTAAGATTAACTAGGAAAGTCTTTCTGTGTCTGTCTCTCTCTCTCTCTGTGTCTCTGTCTCTGTCTCTCTCTCTCTCATTTCCCCCGAGGATGTGTTTGACCCTTGCTACTATCACTGAGCTTCCTGCTTCCCTGTCTTCTCTTAACACCCAGCAGAAGTACCTTCTCAGTGCAGGCCACAAGCAGGTTGCCTTAGAGGGAAAGCCCAAAGCCTTTGGGGGAAAGAAAGGATGCTAAAGAAAAAAGGATCAGGGCTTCCCTGGTGGCGCAGTGGTTGAGAGTCCGCCTGCCGATGCAGGGGACACGGGTTTGTGCCCCGGTCCGGGAAGATCCTACATGCCGTGGAGCGGCTGGGCCCGTGAGCCATGGCCGCTGAGCCTGTGCGTCCGGAGCCTGTGCTCCGCAGCGGGAGAGGCCGCAACAGTGAGAGGCCCGCGTACCGCAAAAAAAAAAAAAGAAAGAAAGAAAAAAGGATCAGAGATGGTCCGCAGTCTGTCCTCCTGTCTGTCTGTAGCCCTTCTCCCTTAGCTAGTGGACACCCTTAGAATTCCCACCCCAGCAACTCAATCTTGCTTCTCTTCCCACTGCCAAGTGGCTGCTTACCTGGCTTCAGGGGTGTTTTTTTACTCCGTGGCTCCGCCCCTCACCTGGTCTTTGGAGCCCTTTGAAACATTCTTTCCTTAACACCCCCCCCATTCCAATCCAAGAGGACCACACATCAGCCTTCCCTTCTTGTTTCTGATGCACTTGAGTCCCACATCCTGTCTCTGGGCACTGGGATTGAAGTCCAGCTGGAGTTACGGAAGCGTTGGCAGTAGAGGCTGTGAGTGGACCACGCTCAAGTAGTGGAGAAAATCCCAAATTAGGAGATCAGTCAGTCACACATATTCGCTGGCTTGGCTCAAGCTCAGTCACTAACACGCAGTCAGGAAGAAGCATGACCATCAAAGAGGTGAGTCACGTGGCACTGTTCCAGCGGCTGGACCTGCTGCACCTGTGCTCTCGTAGCTGCCTTAAGGGACTTGCTGGAGCTGGACCGTGACTTCAGGGGGGGAAACGCTGGCTGTACTGTGAGCATCTGAGGACCACTTGACTCGGTTTTTAAATTTATTTCATTTGGTCTAATTGCTCTGGATCATTCTATCCCAACATCATATCTCTGTCTGCTAAGCTCATGAGTACTCAGCACGCAACTCAGACCGGCTCATGGGACAAGAGCTGGATCTGGAGCGTGAAGGTCCTAATTTCCTTTCCTGAACTCACTTGGCTTCACAAGGAACTATATGAGGGGAGGCCACACACGTGCTAGAGAATCTTCTCACCTGGCTGCTAGTCCACGTGTTCACATCAGCACTTGAAGTTTAACTTTTTTGTAAAGAAAGAAAAGTCTGCAGGTCAAAACAAGAGTGACAGATAAATCAAGAGTTTTTTAAGCAGGCTCTTATGTATTTTTAAAGTTAGGATATTGAAGTATAATTTAAGTTACATGAGTTTGTAATTTGTGGGATTTTTTTTTTTTTTTTGGTTTGTACATTAAAATTTTTTTTTTAACTATAGTAAAATACACGTAACAAAATTTCCCATGTTAACCATGTTTAAAGTACAGTTTAGGAGTATTAAGTACATTCACATTGTTGTGCAGCCGATCTTCAGGACTCTTCAGCTTGCATAACTGCAACTCGATACCCGCTAAACAGTATCGCTAAACTGGATACTCCCCTGCAACCACCATTCTCCTTTCTGTCTCTATGAACTTGACCCCTCTAGGTGCCTCATACGAGTGGAATCATACAGTATTCACCTTTTTCTGACTTGCCTATTTCACTTAACATAATGTCCTCAGTGTTTATCCATGTGTCAGAACTTCCTTCCTTTTTAAGGCTGAATAATATTTCATTGTATATATATACCACATTTTGTTTATCCATTTATCCATCAGTGGACGTTTAGGTTGCTTCCACCTTTTGGCCACTGTAAATAATGCTATGAACAAAGTGTACAAATATCTCTTAGCGACTCTGGTTTCTATCATTTGTGTCTTTTAAAATTGAGTGAAGGAATGAGCCTGGACGTATTCCATATCCCATGGCTTTGCATTTTTTACCATTTGGAAGAAATCAGGAATGCAGCACTAATTTCACCAGGTAATATCTTTGCAGCTTCTCAGTGTGCTGACTTTTCAAGGGCTTCTTGTGCTCTTCTTTAGCGATAGGGGAGTGCTTTGAGAATTGCCATTAACTAGAAAGTAGCAGCAGTGCAGCTATATCTCGGTGATTGAAACACTCATCAAAGGCTGAACTGTCAGTGACTTGGTGTCTAACTAAAAACCACTGTTCCAGTTTCCCCTCACGTGGGGCTTGAAGTCCCACCCCACGCTTCCCCGGGCCAAGAAAGCACATGGTCCTGGGGTGAAGTCTCATGTCTGGGAGCATTGTGCTCCACTACTGAGTGCCCTTCTCACTGGCAAAGGCTTATAAATAACATGTGGGATCCTGTTCCACAGTCAGCAAAGGGGCAGGGGCTGAGGGGTTGCTGAAATAATTTCATGAACAAATTGATCAAAGAAATGATCTGTGAATGAATCTTAGGGAAGGGAGAGCCAGCCAGCCATGTGGGCAGATAAGACTCCTCACCTGCAAAACCAGCCTGTCTTTCATGTCCTCCATTGTCTGCAGGCATGTCTAAGCCCTCTTCTAGCCCATTTGGCATTCAGATAGCTCAGTCGGCTTCACTCTCAGCTCAGAAATGACTTGGGGGGCTGAAGTTGTTCCCATTCTGCCCCCCTGCAAGGAGGAAAGGGAATCTAGTTCAGGAACCAAAACAAAGCTTTTTCATCTCATCTCATCTTTTCAGACCCCAAGACAGAGTTCTCCACCGCCCCCCAGACACAGGGTCATCCAGCATGAAATGCACAGAAATCAGATGCATATCCGTTGCAGGAGAAATGGCAGGGAAGTGGGGCTAAGGTGACAGACTCTGAAGAGCAAACACATACACCTTTGTGCTCTGTCTTCTTAAAATTCATCCTCTCACCTGCCAGCCTTGAGACTTGCCTATTTACATAACTCGCTGCCTAAAATGGAATATTAGATAATGTTCTATGGCGGCTCACTCAGTTTGAGCCCATCCCCGGGATCTGAGTGATCCAGAAGTCCTCTGACAGTGTAGAGCGTGGCACGCTGGCCCGCAGCCATGCCTCCGTGTTGTGTGAGCTCCGAGCTAAACAGATGTCAGGCCCGATCGCCTGGGTGGGAGACCAGCCGAGCAGCGGGGGGGAGGGGGCGTGATTCAGCACGCGGCTCCGTGGCACAACGGCCTTCGTGGACAGACAGCATCGCCTCCTGAGCTTCACAGCAGGCGCCTTGTTCTGCCCAAGGTGCTGTCTCAGAGACTGCCGACTAAAGGGACTGAGAAAGGGGGAGCTGCAGGATCTACGGGGACAACCGGTCCAGGAGGTAATCAGTTCTGATGCCATCCCTGGCGCTGTGCCAGCCTCACACCCGCTCTTGGTCCTTTCCAAGGCGTGCATCTCCCTCCCATCAGAACTGGAATCCTGCTGCTCTCGTAGAGGAGGGGTATAAATAAGTGATAAGGAAGTGTCCTGATAATGATAAGCAGGCGTATCTTCTCCGCAGACCAGATGAATCAAAGAAGGCAATTGTGTGTGTTTGTTCATTTATTTTTCAGTGTTCCGGTTCCCGTAGTCAGTTTAGAGAAAATTCCTAACCTAGTGAAGGCAGATGGTGCCAATGTCAAAATGAACTCTGCAACCACTACTGCGGTCACTTTCTGCTCCACCTCATCCTCTGCCGTCTCCACCCCACCTGTCATTAAGCCGGTCTTGATGTCCAAGTCAGTGCCACCTTCCCCAGAGAAGATCTTAAATGGCAAAGGAATTTTGTCTGCCACCATAGACAAGAAACACCAAAATGGCACCAAAAACAACAACAAGCCTTACAGGAGACTTTCAGGTACGTGTCTGTGTCCTTCGAGTCTGGCTCGTGATCAGATTGCAGTCGAGTTGCGTCCAGAACGAGGGAGCGATGCTTTCTTATCATAGAGCAGGTCTGTTTCGTTTTAAGGGAGACACGGAGTTTACCTGCCAACAGGAACCTCCCCCGCCCCTAAAAATACAGGGGAGAACTGGTTCTCTTAATCCCGGGCCAGATGCGGTACCTTGCTCAGCCCAGCCCTGAGCAGCAGTTACCTTAGTGACCCCAAGGCAGGAGGCTCTGCAACCCCTCAGCAGTCTGTGGATTCGGAGGGTCTTGTCCTCACACTGACAGGCCGAACTGCCCCTGGGTTCCGGAAAGCAGAGTCGGGCAATCCACCGTGATATCTCCCTGTAGCTCAGGGCAGGCTTGGGACAGTCGCCTTGGTGCTGTCTGCCCATCTCCATCCTTTGGTCTCGTTGGTTTCCAGGTTGATCCTGTGGTCTGGGGCTGCAACTGCCTTTCCCACATAAGCAGATTGGAATTTCCATCTGGGAACGCTTGGACTGGCACAGCAGATGGGGTGTTGAAGGGTCTCTCTCCGATCTACTTGGTTGCCCAAGTACCTCAGGGTACCCAGAAAGGTGCACATGGCCAGTCCTTAAGACAATGGTTGCGCTTAGGGGCCCCCGAGTGGGTGATAGTTGCTTTGGGATTGTTGTAGAAGGAAATCCGGCAGTTTTACTTTCTCTAAAAGACCAAGAAAAGCTATAAACCTTATAACTTCTTCACACACTCTGGGCATTTATCAAAGGTCAACCAGAAAAAACAAAATACAGTTGACCCTTGAACAGCGCAGGGATTAGGGGTGCCGACCCTCCACGCAGTCAGAAATCCCTGTATAATTTCTAGTTGGCCCTCCATATCTGCAGTTCCTCTGTATTTGCGGATTCAGCCAACCTGCAATCATGTAGAACTGCAGTATGTACTATTGCAAAAGATCCGCGTGTAAGTGGACCTGCACAGTTCAAACCCATGTTGTCCATGGGTCCACCGTACAGGGTAAGCTGCCCTGTGAGAGTGAAGCTGTGTCCTCTGGTATGAGCATAATTCCTAAGCGCCCCAAGAATTGTGGGTCATTTTCATTTTGTACTTTGTGTTTATATGTGTTTCAGTTTCTCTATCTTACCTCTGTCACTTTTAAAAAGTTTACTTCTTAAAAGTACCTCAGGCCCAAAGCATTCTAATGACACAGTTATTTTACCCTGAAAATCTCTCCATGTCCTTTCCACCCGCTGTCCAGAAAGAAAGGCAGAGCCTGGTGCTCTCTTGAGGGCGGGGGCCTCACTGTGTGGACGGAGCCCCCCGCTCCTGGCTGTCTCCCTGCAGGGAAGGTTCATCTTCACTCTGCAGAGGGGGCAATCCAACAGGCCTGTCTGGGCGCAGTGAGGCCGGCTTCCTCCTCCTGGCAGAAGTATGACCATGGCTTCCAGCCGGCACCTTAATCTGAAGTTGGTCGGGCATTTTTTGTGTGTTTGGGGATTTTGCATTTTGTTGGTGGTTTTGTCTCATTGGGTCTTTTGCTATTTCTCTCTCACTTTCACATTTGGCAGCCAGCTCCTACCCCCAGCCAAACAACCTGCTCAGTTCCAGGCCAGCACGAGGGCCGGTGTGGATCTGGGTACGGGTCTGACTCCGCCAGGCCCAAGGGAAAGAACTCACACCAGGCGGCCTTCAGCCTGGCACCCAGACCCTCCTCGGTGGGCAGAGAGGGCTCGTAGGAAGCGAACATCTCCAGGCCCAGCAGTTTTCTTTCCTTAAAAATGAAGCTTAAAAAAAGGAGACAAAAGCAAAAGAAAGAGGCAGGATGCATTTTGATAGTCAACCAGGAAATCTGTCTTGGACATGAGAATGGTTTTATTGCAAACATCATCATCACCACTGTCGCAACCTCCCCACAGCTCCCAAACCTTCTTTTAAAAATAGAATGCATTCATTTATTATGGTCAGAGCTTACTCCACCAAGTTCAGGCAGTTTTTCAGGCAAGGTAACCTCTTTTTAGCTTGCAGCCATTGGAGGCCCTTAAGGAGACATTCCACCAAGTATATATACACCCCCCCGCGCGCCCATCCACCCACCCGCCAATGCTGCTGCCCGTCTCCCTGGATGCTCAGAAGAGCTATGTCATTCTGCCCTGCAGGACTCAGGTGTTTGTTGGGTGCCTTCCAGAAATGGCACAGGTCATCAAGAGGTGGAACTTGAAAGCCTGAAGGGTCCTTAAGAGATTGCCGCACATCCCCTCGTTTCCCAGGGGAGGAGAGCATTTCTGTAATCCAGAAGGGGTGAAGGATCCAAAACGGGCATAAAAAGAGCATATTCCTTAGAAGTAACCCCAACATGAGCCGTCAGGAGTCCAGCGGGAAGGCAGGATCTGGGGAAAGCCCGCCTCCCTCAGCAGGTCCCCGAGGGACCCGGCTTGTTCCCACCTGGAGCATCAGGCCTCAGTCCAGGGGCAGAGCGACTGTGACACTAACAGGCCCTGCCCTCTCTGCACCTTCAGGTTCAGCCCCAGTGTAAATCCCACACCTGCCCCTGCCCCTGCCTATATGTTCCTGAATCCGGGAAATGATTTTTCTGGCCAGCGAGGCTGCGTGGAAAGCCTCGTGCTGAGGACTTTGCAAAACATTGAGAGAGGCAGGTCACACGGACATGTCAAGGAATAATCTCCCCCTTAAATGGCTAAAACTATTAGGGAGGCAGGGCAGGAAGGGGTTGGTGATGTATTCTTGGAGCTACCCCAGGGGAAAAAGTGGCCCTCGGGCCTCAGGTGGTTCTCCCTGGTCTGCAGCCACCTCTGCCCAAAGGTACCGGGGGAATTGTTTGGAGTGAAAGTGTGAGAGCAACTGGCTCCTTTCCCTCCGCTGCCCACCCCCCACCCCCCATTCCCTTGTGCATTCCGATCCCTACCGCCTCCCGCTGGACTTGGGAATTCTTGGGTTCAGAGGGGAGCGCCATCTTCCCCCAGCGGTTCTGGAAGCATTTTAGCAGCCGGTTGGAAAAAAAAACAAACCAAAAAAAACAGATTGCCTGACAATGTCTCACTTGTTGGTGCAAATGTGCATTTTTTTAAAAATGTGGTCTTAATGCCAAATCCTATTTAGTCTCCTTTTTTCTTATATTTTTTGTTTGTTTCTTAAACCAGAGAGAGAATTTGACCCAAATAAACACTGTGGAGTATTGGATCCCGAGACAAAGAAACCTTGCACAAGATCCCTCACCTGCAAGGTATTTCTCTTTCCATAAAAAATACTTCCTGCTCTCGCTGGGGCCTTTGTCGAAATGTTTGCATGCCACTCTCTGCACACGGCAGGGTGTGGAGCCTCGACATGACCCCCAGCTGTTCTTTGTAAGGGAAATGCTTTCTTCTCTTCCATGGTAGCAGAGCGCCTGCCTCAAGCTGGCTGGCTTTTTAAGAAGGGAAAAAAAAAAAAAAAATAGGCTTCCCCTGTTACTTGTGAGGCCAGACAGTAAATTGTATTTATAGGCACTCACAGGCGGTTCTAAACCCTGCTACGTTTTAATGTATGCAGGAGCAGCGCGGCGGCGGTGGCAGCGCCCTGAAAGGCAGCCCCGGAGGGGAGGACGAGCCGCCGTGCCCCTGATCCAGCCACAGCGGGGTGGCCAGGGGACAGCTGACCCAAGGCGGCCGCCAGTGGGTGGCCCCCAGCCCCGTATTTCATACTGAACTGCCAGTGCCTCTTGGGATGGAGGCTGTGGCCCTCTCTGCTTGGTGGCTCTGTGTGTCTGGGCCAAAGCAAGCCTCCCACCTGCACCTGGATTAACTCCAGCACGCCCTCAGCGTTGCCTTTCATCAGAGAGGTTCTCATGGGTTCTGCGCTGAAGCTCGTCATCTTATGCCATTTTTTTGGAGGAAGCTTTGGCTTCTTAACGCCAGGAGCGTAGGGCACGGTTGCGTTTTGTGTGGTCTCTGCCTCTTCCCAGCCACAGAACAGGAGCTGTTGCCTTGAAGTTGACTTTTCAAGCACCTCTAAATTCCCATGAATTGCTGTTTCTGAAATGGAGGGCCTGGGGAAGCAGGTTTATGTGCTGATCAAAGAGGCTGTGCTTTCCGTCTCTCTTCTCCTTAGACTCACTCCCTAAGCCATCGGAGGGCAGTCCCAGGCCGGAAAAAGCAATTTGACCTCCTTCTGGCGGAACACAAAGCCAAGTCCCGGGAAAAAGAAGTTAAAGATAAAGAGCATCTCCTGACTTCGGCAAGGGAAGTACTTCCAAACCCATCCGGGCCAGCGCAGGACTCGCTGCCGGGATCTTCAGGGAGCTTGGGCCCAGAACCTAAAGTCGCGTCCCCTGCAAAATCCAGGCCACCTAACTCTGTGCTTCCTAGGTAAGTCCCACCTGGGCGATAGAAGCCTTGAGTCCGTGGTCAAGTGACCCTGCCTGGCTGGGTCGTATGTGGTCGGATCACGTGTGAAATGGGAGTCATTATCGTCCTACCTGGGGAGGTGGTTGTGAAGTGGAAAGGAGAGAATGGGCGTGAGGGGCTCAGCCCAGTGCCTGCCACGTAGCGTTCAGTGGATGTTACTGCTGTCACCGTTGTCATCCTCACCATGGTCATCGTTGCCGTGATTGTCATCCTCCATAGCAGACCTACATCCGACAGGATGTGTTTTCACGGCGTAAGAGTCAGCTAGAAATAAATAGCTGAAAGGATGACACTCAACCACCAGGCAACTTTCCGGTCACCTGAAAGTTTTTAGATTAGTTGAAGATTCCTGGAGCAGAGAGTGGGGGAAGCGTGGGGGGATGGGTAGTCAGCACAGCTTAGGAGCCCACTTGCCATGATATTTTGTGAATTTTTTCCACAACTCTCCAATGGTCAGGGTAAAGGGAAAATTGCCGTGACAGGGCTGTCTGTCCTTACGTTTCCCTCCATACCAAGAAAGCTGAGCCACCTCTTTGGGGTTTTATTTGGTCGTCCTGGACAGAAAGGAAAGAATAGAAAACAAAACCCACCTGGGGGAATTCCCTGGCAGTCCAGTGGTTAGGATTCCAAGCTTCCACTGCAGGGGGCACGGGTTCGATCCCTGCTCGGGGAGCTAAGATCCCACATGCCACGCAGCGTGGCCAAAAAAAAGAGAGAGGGAGAAAAAAATTCCACGTGGGTTGAAAATCCATGTGTGTGTGTTTTGACAGGCAGTGGAGTGCCATAATGAGCCACAGACCGATTTCCAGGTGATAGGACAGGTAACCCTCGTTCAAAAATATTTATTGAGTGCTTGCTCCATAAGCAAGGTGCTGTGTTAGGTACTCTCAGGCAGGGGCACAGAGATGAATGAAACTAGATCCTGCTTTTCAAGAATTTGGAGTTTAGGAGATGAGACTCAAATATCCGTAGCATCATGAAAAGAAAACATTAATAACACAATATAAGTGCAGATATTAGTATCCTCTGATGATTTTTGGTTTTTTTGGCTGCGTTGGGCCTTCTTTGCTGCACACGGGCTTTCTCTAGTTGCAACGAGCGGGGGCTACTCTTTGTTGCGGTGCACGGGCGTCTCATTGCGGTGGCTTCTCTTGTTGCGGAGCACGGGCTCTAGGCGCACAGGCTTCAGTAGTTGTGGCACGCAGGCTCAGTAGTTGTGGCTCATGGGCTCTAGAGCACAGGCTCAGTAGTTGTGGTGCACGGGCTTAGTTGCTCTGCAGCATGTAGGATCTTCCTGGACCAGGGCTCGAACCCGTGTCTCCTGCATTGGCAGGCAGATTCTTAACAACTGCGCCACCAGGGAAGTCCCCTCTGATGATTTTTAATGCATACACTGTGAGTCTCAAAGAGTAATTGTCCAGTCAGCAAGTAGGCATTAAGAGAATATAGTTACAAAAGAAGGGGAAGGAATTTATTTTTAAAGCAAAGCAAATATTTGATGACAGTTGTTACTAACCTACCAGGATCTCTCATGCCTTACACTTGGTGCAAGCCTGACCAGTTTGGCAGCTGGAGCCCCTCTCTTGGAATCACCAAGCTCAGCCTCAGGCATCTGGGGGGATGGAGTCAGACGGAGTCAGATGGAGTCACCACCCACACATCTCCATCATCATAACCATTGTCGGGTCGTTGTCCTCATCCGTTTACTTGCCACTGTCCTTGCCACCCCTCATTTTCCAAAATCGTTTTATAATTTCTCACTGTAATGCCAGATGTTGGTGAAGGATACTACCCTTGGGGACACAGTTCTGCTCCAAACTTCTGGAAGGGGCTTCAATTCTATATACAGTAGCTTTCAAACTTCTTGGTGGCGATGGAACTTTTTTGTTCCCACAGAACCTTACATGGTACCCGATATAAAAGCAGACCTGCCTCCACCTGAAGCCCGCTCAGCCCTGCTCTCATCGCACGTGTACCCAGGACCCACTGTCCCCCAGCCCATCCAAGGGATCACCTCAGCTTCTCCAAGGACTCCAGGGAACCCCAGTTTGAAAACTCTTTTAGTATACATTTCTCCATCGATTTTGACTGATGCAGGCACTCAGCACCCAAGCAGTGGTACCTGGCTTAACAGAGAAGCTGGGGGCAGCCGTTAAAAAATGAAACAGGCAACAGTGGAGCCTTAAGAGCTGCTTCTTTCTGTTCCTTTTTTGGTTTAATTTTCAGGGGAATGTTTGTCAATAGAGAAATGCCAGGTGTTTATGTTCTTTTAGGGAAATAGAAGAAAGAGAGAGGGTGAGGTTAATCGGCAGAAAAGAATGTCTCTGAAGGAAAAGGGGAGGCCAAGGAGCACATTACAAATGTTGGTAAGAGAATAATTTTTGAGGACGCTTTCAAGGCACCGGAAAACTCAGGGGTGAACTCTGTTCCACAGTTAGTGGGAAATAACGTCCTTTTTCAGTTGTTTTAGGTTCACATGAGACCCCATGCCGTCAGAGATCGAAAAAGCATGATCAGGGCTTCCCTGGTGGTGCAGTGGTTGAGAGTCCGCCTGCCGATGCAGGGGACGCGGGTTCGTGCCCCGGTCTGGGAGGATCCCACATGCCGGTCTGGGAAGATCCCACGTGCCACGGAGCGGCTGGGCCCGTGAGCCATGGCCGCTGAGTCTGTGTGTCCGGAGCCTGTGCTCCGCAACGGGAGAGGCCACAACAGTGGCCTTTTTTTGCGTACCGCAAAAAAAAAAAAAAAGAAAAGAAAAAAGAAAAACCATGATCAGAAGTAAACATACCCACATAAGACTTAAAGCAGTTATTTCCCTCATATTAATGATGTAAATATAATAGATGTTTCAGTCACACTCATTATCTATAATTGGCCAAAAAAAAAAATTGTCACACGTGAATGGAATTATGGTTATCCCTTCCCAATCGTGAATTTCTCTTGTAGGAAATGCTAACAGCGTGTGAATTTATATCTTAAATATCATTTTGGTAACCTTGAAAATATTCCAGTTGCCATATTTTTGCGTTGCAACCCATCCTTGTCAGGGGTTCCTAAAAGAGGGACTTGGGTCTAGGATTGGAAAAGTGAAAGTTAGCTAGCAAGGGTTGGAACAGGATTGGAAGTGCAAGGCTCAACTCCTTGTCTGCTAACTAGATGAACATGGCCATGTCTCTCAGCCTCTCTGGCCTCAAATTGCTCAACTGTCAAACAGAGCTAAGGAGAATTAAGTGAGATAAAATACCAAGCTCATCATAAGCACTCAGTTCATGGTAGCTGGTAGTAGGGGGCAGTGGTAGTCAATGGGAAAGCAATGGGAGCCTCAGTGCTACCTGATTTCCATTCACCTGTCCTCCTGGCCTCTGTCCTTCAACCTGGGGCCCCTTGGATAACATAGCAGTATGCTCTGTTTCTTTGCCCCCAACTCTAAGGAAACACATTATTTGCCCCACAGAGCCCAAGGGCTATGAATGACCAGGCCAACCAAAGCCATCAGGACTCTGTTGGAAAGGCGCGGGGGTTCGGGGAAGGGGGGCAGCAGAGGGAGGAAGGGTCAGCTGTGGAGGTCAGTGCTGCCAAGATCTGGGCACATTCCCCTCTGTCTCATAGATGCTCACACATCTCCCCTTAAAGTATAAAATGGCAAATGCCAATGAATCTAAGACTGACAAGGGCAGCAGGGAAAGAGGCAGAAGGTCCTAGATACCTGAAAAAGGGCAGAGGTGCGTCTGGAGTGAAAGCTACTTTATTACATAGAGTAATCGCCAAAGTGGAAGCCATTTCTCTCTTTGACTTATGTTTGTTCCTGGGCTTTTCCTACTCATTTCTCAACAGGGGGGCCTTTGAAGTCAAGCAGACAGGGCCCAGTCTCATTTCCACTTTTTATTAGCTGGGCAACCAATGTCCTCATCTGAGAAGTGTAGGTCATAGTTACGCACACCTAAGGCAGTGGGTAGCTCCAATGAGAAAAGGTGTGTGACGTGCCTACATGCGGTAAGGACTCAGTTAAGGTCAGTTGTTTTGCTCGTGCTTCCTCAAAGTGGTGGGGGTTAGGGGACTTTAAGTTTCTCTGGGTGTAACTGGACAGGGACCATCATCACATGCACTGTCTTTAGACCAGACTGGTAAGTGGAGGGGTGAGGGGTAATGTAATGCTGAGGAAGAAAGGTTGGACGGCAGCTTAACACTTGCGAGACTTTTCCCACACTTTCTCATGGCCAGTTGCCCAATTCCCCATCATCCTCTCCAAGCCTTGGCTTTTTTGAGACGCAAGCTGGTCCCAGCGCACTCCATCCCTCCAGGTTCCACCCTGGAGGGCAGTGATCAGAGCTGGGAGGAGGTCTTGAAAGCATCCGCCGTTCCGTCATCGCCAGGAGGGTGCCCACGTCCTGAGTGACACAAGTCTAAAAACGAGGAGATCCAGGGCTCCTTCCCGTTGTGCACATGCACACGTGTGCCCAGCGTCCTTCCTTCATGTTTCTGTCTTGGTTCTCAGAGCTGATTCTGCTCTGCAGCTCGCAGGTTTCATGCTCAGCTTTACTCTCCGCGATTCTCCTCCCCTCGTCTCCTCTCTTTTGTCTGGCAACTGGAACTTACTATTGAGTGTTTCAACTGTTCTAAGATTTTTTTTTTTCTTAACGAAACTTCTTTTTTTTAAATCAACATAGTATAGACACATAGTTCAAAAACTAAATAGTACTAAAAGGGTTAGAGTGAAAAACAGTAGTTCCTACCATCCTGGAACTCTGTTGACCCTCTCTGTGTTGGAGCATCTGTTTCCTGTATCCCTTTGCCACCTTCTCTCTTGGTTTGCTCCTTTATTTGATGGAGTATCTTCTCCATTAGCTTCCTGTGAAAAGGGACATGGGAGGTCAATTTTTAGAATCCTTATACACCTGAAAATGTTTTTATTCTACCCTCACACTTAATTGATCATCTCTCTGAGTATATAACTGGATTGA